AAAGCAAAAAAGGGACCAGCAATGTGATACTGGTAACCGACACAAGAGCAGTGAAAGAGATGCTCAAAAACGGAAGCAAAAAGTGTCAAAAAAGAGTGAAATTCAATCGTCTTCAATATGCGGTGAAGATGAAACGGTAAGTTACAGAGGAAAAGCTGGCAAGTCACAAACAGAAAAAGAAATGCATAGCAAGGAAGCTGATCGTCAAAAAAGAAAAGCTACGACTGAAAGAGCTCATGTAGCAGAAGAGCAGTATTCACAAGAGGAACGTCATACCCATAAAGTAAGAAATAAGCAAGAGCTGGATTCAGATGAGGAGGTAAGTGAATCGTCCACAAATTAAATCGTGTACCAGTGAAACTGTGATAAAAAGGACTCAACGAAAAGTCAAAATTAAAAAGAAGCATTCTGAACCAGAAAGGGAATACAAGAGAGATATGAAACAAGAAGGAAAAGCCGAACATGAAGCAAAAAGTGGAAGTAAAGTCCAACTAAAAGGAAAGGAAAGAAGTAGTCATGTACGCAAAGAATTATCAGAACAAAGAGCACAAAAAGAAGTGCCAGAAAAGTTTGAAAATGAATCTTCTGCTTCAAGTAATGAAGAAATAGTAAAAGCAAACAAATCTGAAACACATTCAGAAGATTCCTCAGAACAAGAGCAAAGTTCAAATGAGGAGGTAAGGGAAAAAGAGAGATACCAGAAAACCTCAGAGCAAATCACAGGAGATGAATATGCTTCTGAGAGTGAAACAGAAGTGAAAAGCAAAACAACAAAAACCAAAGGGTCTCAAAGTGAATATGGGGGAAAGGAAAAGCAACAACAATGGGACCCACAATCTTTTGGTGAATTTTCACCAGATGAAATGGCAATTGATACTGGACACCGACACAAGAGCTGTGATCAAAAACGCAATAAGTTTAAAGAAACAGAGGAAAGAGTACAAAAGGTGCCAAAAGAGGGTAAAATTAAAACATATGCACTGTGCAGTGAAGATGAAATGGTAAGTTCCGAGGAAAAGCTGGCAAATCACTAAAAACAGAAGAAACAGAACAAATCCATAGCGAGGAAGTGGAACATCACAAAAGAAAGGCTACTGCTAAAATGATGAAGCAGAAAGAAAGAGCTCTTGTAGTAGATGAGCAGTATTCAGATGAAGAAGTAAAAGAAAAACCTACTCTAAAACACAAGAGACTGAAACAGGTGCAAACAAAGTCAAAAACGAAAGAGAAATCTTATTCTGCTAGTACTGGTGAAGAAGAAATTGAAGACATATTTGGCGCATCAAAAGTGCCGAACATGAGGAAAACAGAGCATCGAAAACTGAATCAGAATACTGATGGAAAGGAAATGAAGCTTGAAAAAGATAAGGCAATGAGGACAAAGACATTACAACAGAAAACAAAAGCAATGAAGGGAACATCTTCTAATGAAGCGACAAATAAAGGAAAGTCTCTGAAAGTACATTCAAGCTCAAGAAAAGAAACACACAAACTGGTAAACAAACCAAGAGAAATGAAAGTATCATCAGGAATAGCCACAGAGGAAATAGATTCAGATGATAGGAGTGAGGATGAAGAACATGATGATGAGTCTTCTACTGCCTCTAGTGAAGAAGAGGAAGTGAAGAAAACAAGTGGGAAATCAGAGAAAATAAACCCTGCTCTTCGTTGTGTTAAAGATAGAAGGGTAAAGCGAACCAAAAGGAAGGAGACAGGAAGAGAAAAGATTATAGCTCCAGATTTACCAGCAGACGATGATGAATCAGATCCTGGTTGTGGGGGCAGGAAACAACGAGAGCATGACATTATACCAAAGAAAAGGAGCAGGGGAAGGCAGAGGGAGAGTAGTCCAACAGCCAGAGGTAGCTCCTCCCCCTCCACTTCACAAGAGGAACAGCAAATGCAACGTGACCCAATAGGACAAAGGAGGAAGAAAGAACATGTTAAGGATCACAGGAAAAAGATGAAGGCAGGTAAAAGGCAGCAAGAACCAGAGAAACTACCCAAGTTCCTCTGAAACTGATGACTCATCACCAGAGTGCGATGTGATGGCAAATCTTACAATAGAAGAGTGCAAGAAACTCAGGAAAATATTCAGACGTTTCTTTGGCAAACTGTGCTGTGCTATTGTCAACCCAGTTGAAACAGCTGCTCAACTGCAGGTAAAACATCTGATATCTCATTCAATGATGAAAGATTTGATGATGTCTCTGAATCTAAACAAGCCAAGACCATCACACTGGTAGATGCAATTGATAAAAAAATAAAGGCGCATCCCGACAGGGTTTTAGTATTAATTGATGTATTGCTGGAGATTGAGATTCCACAGCTGCAGAGTGCAGGCAGAGAAATGTTGAGAGAAACAGGTAAATAACCTTCAAATTCACGCGTGCTAATCTTTTAGTGATGTTAACAAACTCACAGGTCAAGTATACCAACAAAGGACTCAAGAAAGATTCTCTAATCTTACTCCACCAGACTCTATGGCTACTTCTTCATTTGTTCCTGACTCTGTGGCTACTTCATCAGATGTTGGAGGTAGGCTCATAATGTGCCGACAGTGTAGCATAGTTTACTGTTTCTTCTTGCTATTCAGGAAATAAGGAGTGGCAAATGGTATTTCGAAACTTGCGGCTATTGCAAGTGTAGCTGATGGCATATCACCATCTCAGGAAGTAAGTCAGTCAGTACCACACTCAGGTTTAGGTCCAG